TTATGGAATGACAAAGATAAAAAAATATAATTTGAGATGTGTTAAAACAATCGGAACAGTGACAAACAATACCCAGCTTTATATTTTTCAGAATTGTACAAAAAAATCGTAATACAAGGATTTCAAGGTCTGAAACTTGGTAACTAATGTACCAATTGGTTTTTAGAAAGGAATGCCACGAAAAAAAAAGAAAAAAACTTTCTTATCACAAAAACATGACCTCTTAAGGTGAGGAATTTTGTTTTATGTAGGCGTTGTGTCAATTATTCTCAGGACCTATTTCATTAAAAATCCTAATAATCACATTTCCATCATGCTTATCTCAAGCGGGGTAGCGAGGGGTGCTAGTGCATATCTCCAGCTGTCAATGGACGAGAGACGGGGTACACCCTGGACAGGTTGCCAGTCCATCTCAGGGCAACACAGAGACAAACAAACATTCACGCACACACACACACACCTAAGGACAATTTTTAGAGAAGCCAATTTTAGAGAAATCAATTACCATAGCAGTTGGGCTGCGGCAGGAAGCCGGAGTACCTGGAGAGAACCCATGCATGCTCAGGGAGAACATGCAAACGCCAGTTTACAAATTGGGAATGTATTATTTCAGGAAATTTCAGTCATGGCAAGAAGATTCTGGGTTCAATTCCTGGGCTAGGGTTTTTCTGCATTGAGTTTGCATGTTCTCCCTGTGCATGTATGGGTTCTCTGCAGGTACCCTCTACATTATCCTTTGGTGTGAGTGTGTATTGCATGGTTTTGTCTCTCTGTGTTGCGACAGACTGCTGATCGGTCCAGGGTTTACCCACCTCTCGCCCATTGACTGCTGTAGATAGGCACCGGCCCCAACCAACCCTGAATAGGACTAAGCGGGAGAAGATGGATGGATGGATATCCAGATTAGCACAACAAAAGATCTCTAAACAAAGTACATTTACTTCTGTGGTGATAACAGAGCTTATTCAGAATTATGTTAAGAATCATTTTCGCTAAAGTATGTATTCATAACTTTGGAGCATTGAAGCTAGAGAAGAGCAGGGACATAATAGATTAATAGACCACAGCCAACCAGGAAGCAAATGTGTATAAACATTAGGGTAAAGCCTGCAGTCTTCAGTTATATAACATTCATTCCTCAGCAGTCCTCCAGAGCATCAAGGTTTGGAGGCCAAATACCAATGGCAGAAGTCTGGCTGTCTCAGTACCACAGGAGCCCTAGGACATCTGGGAATGTCGAGGAGCGGCGCGGTCATGGAGATATGAGCTTTGCTGAAGCAAGGACGGTTCATGGGGGTCTCAGACAGATGACGCTGGCAAGGCTAAAGGTTGACGGAGCAGAGCACAATGCGGCAGCAGGGCGACTGCTCAGGCTGGGGTGGAGGATGAATAAAAGTTGTTCCCAATTTGACGAAAATGTGGACGATGCAGTCTGTCAGGTCGCCAATCTGTCAGCACAGTGCCTCAGGTCCCCTCAGGCCACACAACACACAGCCCTGCCTTTTTTTGTGCTTTTCTCCACTCACATACCTTGTCCTTATGCGCCCTTTTTCCACCATTACATTTCACTGCAAAGTGATTTTTTGCCACAGGGAGATAATAGCCTATAATCCTCTCCCTCTCTAAGTGTGATTTTAGTAGCCTTCTCATTTCACACCCAACATCTCTACGTATGCAAGGTTATGTCATATACGATGTCTCCAATCAGCAAAATTAGATTTTGTTTCCTTTATACCTCCCTGTATATATTAAATGCATCAATCCTGGCTGCTTGTATTTAAATGCATGGATTTAAAAGTTGAATTATACTGACATCTGCTGGTAGGAAGGAGCATCACACTTAATCACAAAAATGTTTTTTTCTCCCTGGTAACCCACTGTTGTCTTGGACTTAAGATCAAATATTTTGAAAAGAAAAACATCTTAAATTTATATACAGCTCCTTAGTACTAGCGCAGATAAACATTTTCTTGTTACATTACAGTTGTGCAACTTTTAAGGTACTTTAGAATAATTTTACTCAAGTGATCTTAGAAATTTTAGGAAAATATTCTTAGAGATTTAGACTTAGATTTAGAATTAGACTTAGACCTAATAAAATTTTTCCCTTGTGGTTACTCCTTGAGGGAAATTCTGGTTCCAGTAGCTTATATAGAGTACAAAGAGTTACAAAAAGATGCCATTAAAAAAAAAAAAAACAACAGACAATATAAAAAGAGTGAATTTAGTAAAAAAAAAAAAAAAAAAAAAAAATGTAATGTCCTATCTACAACTCAGTTATCTAATCAATAGATCATAGAGCATCATAGATTTCTAACTAGGTTGACTTTAATATCTTATAATGGTCAACTTTTGATTCATAAATATTACTTAGTAATGCCTCAGCTATTAAAGTGCCTTGCTAACTCATATTGATGACTGAGTCATATTGATGGCAATGGATCATTTTATTTGCCTACTTCATATTTAGAAGACACAAATAAATTTTTTCACAAATAGTTTTGGTTTGTCTTTTTTATCACAGTATTGCATTGTAAATAGGCTTCAGTAAGTCCATGTGAGCTGCAGGGAAAATATATTTATTGCTGTTATGTCAAAGCTGTGTTTAACCTTGTTGTACTCAAGGAACTTGTGAGAACATAGTTGGACTATGTACCCTGTAGTATCACTCACTTGACAGCAGAATTCCTTGTTCTAGTTTGTTTCTTTGCATCTTAGCCGCTAGATAGACTTGTGCAAACAGCAATCACACCAAATAACACACAGTAATAGATTTATGCTTTTCTTAATCAGCAAATGTATTATTCCTAAACTCAGCCCCACACACCCCTCCCCACCCCATTATAGTTTTGATGTAATTAACTATGAATTTTTTCATTCTGACCCATCAAAAAGCTTTTTACTAGTTTGTGAAGTCTTGCAAGTATGTGCGTCACTGCACATATAATCCCTATATACACTGTGAAATATGAGAGGACCCAGTGTGGGGGGGGGGCCATACACATGATGGGCAAGATCTTGTTTTAGTCTTGTATCACAAGGCTCTGGCTGTGTTCCACGGAGTCGGTTCTTCACGTACACAGCAGGGTCGCTCAGTGGCCTGAGATGAACCTTGTTAAACTTAATCACCGTCTGTCTTATAAAATCACTTTTACATCTATTTTCTAACCAACATAAAAACATCTTGCTGCAAAAACGGTTTTAATAAAAATTATGACTATATTTGGAAATAAGTTTTCCCATTTCTAAATTCCTTTACTACCATAAATAGCACCAAAGGAGAACAGCTTGAAAAGTAATGAGGAATTTATTATCTACTGCAAGATGAGAAAATTCTGAAAAATAGAAAAAGTTCTGGAAAATGTGTCTTGCATTTTTGCTTAGGAAATTCCCCACAGCATAAAGCTGCCATCACCATGTTTCACAATGTACATAGTATGTTTAAGGCAGGAGTCTGCAACCTGTGGCTCCGAAGCTGCATGTGAGACTTTGGACCCTTTACAATGGCTCTAGAGGCTTTAAGTTATATATAGAACTAAGAAATGTACTATACTAACAAATACCAGTATGAATAAAGAATATTTCAATAGAATTTGTACAACAAAGTGACATTAAGAGAACCAGAAATGTGGATATGAAGAGTTGCAGACCCCTGGTTTAAGGTATTTATTTATTTATTATTTTGGAATGAGAAGTTGCTCTAATTGGATAGAAAGTGGCTATGAACATTATTTTTGGAGTCTTATCAAGGACTCTCATTTTTATTTATATCTGGACTTTAACTTGTTTGAAGGTTATTATAAAACAAGGGTTTACTTGAATGTAAACCAAGCACCTGCAGCTTTAGTTTCGTGTTTAAGGTCATTCACTTGATAAAAGGTGAGTAACTGCCCTAATCTCCAGTTTTCTCATCTCAAAAATAAAAAATCACAGTGAGTCAGTGCTGCCAGTACATTGTGTGTACATTGTGTAGTCATTTGCAGTTTTAGTTTTTGTGTGGGTTCATTTTGCATCTAGGCCTCAAATGTTGGTTTTGCTCACATGCTTACATAGTTGGATATGTCTCTTACATTATTTCTTGCAAAATGTAAATAGTTTCACTGTAAGTGCAGCTACTGCCTTCTGCTGCATACACTGCAGATTCATATATAATTCCTGATGGTTGCAAGCTTGTCAATAATGCAAATAGCATCAAGCACATTGATTTAGATATCTTTATTTCATGATTTCTTCCTGATCTAAGCTACTCTTTCTCTTAATATATTGTAGTTGATTTGTCAGGTGCCTTCTGGTGAGTAGCCCTGGCTTACTGCCACATAGATAAAAGTGCCAGCATGAAAATGGAGCCAACTTACAAAAGGTCGACATACCCCAGACAGGATCATGTAACTCCTAGTGAAACTCAGTGTCACTCAAGATGCTTGTGTATCACTAGCAGTGTTACTAGCCATTACAGCCTTGTGGGGATACTGAAAATGACTGCAGTTTTTACACTGGCATTAGGCGTAATCTATTGTCATTTCAAGTGCTTCAAAATTAATAAAGATGTCTTTATCATTATGTTGCATACTACTTATGTAGGTGTGTTTCTACTGAACACAAACCACAGGGAAGATCAAAGTTCTGCCAGCTCTTGTGAATTGTTAAGGCATTACAGAGTGTTCTAGTTTAACCAGAAGAAAGAGTGGAGGTCAGAGGAGATACGTCAGACTTCAGACTTGTTCCTCAAGCTGCTGTTGAGTAAAACTTTTTAGCCTATGAATAAAAGTTGCCTGAAGTGGAGTTTTTTTGTTGTTGTTGTGTTGTTTGTTTTAGTTTTTTTGGCTTTGGGAAAAACCTGGAGTTCCTAGAGGAAACAACACGCAGGCAAAATATAGAAACTCTTGAAACAGCAGCCCTTCTATCATGAAATATTTGAACTTAAAGTTTTGAAAAGACAGATTTGCCAAGAAAATAAGAATAAAAAATAATACAGTGGAAGGCATGAAAAAGCCTGTGAATGCATTTTATTGAACGAAATTGTGTTGGGCCCAAAAACACTGCAAATGTACACACGTTGGACAAAAAAGGTTTTGCACAATATTTTCATTAACTAACAACTCAACTCAAGCATAGTGTGAATACTATGAATACCATCTATCTATTGTCGCATTCAATACATAATTTTATTTCAAGTTCAGAACTTAACTGCCTTAAGCAAACAACAAAAAACATTTTAATATTTGGTTTGCATATGCTCCTGATCCAAACAAACTTTGTTTGGTTAGGGTTACAACATTGAATTACAAAAGATATAGGCAAAATAAAAATTCTAAATCACTCACACGTATCAATAGAATATTGCACTTGGTGTTATTTTATCTTAAATGTGGTCTCCCCAAAATGAATCCATGGGAAGACATGAAACCTAACCTATTCTGTAGTCTTATCACCTGTCCTTACCTGCTGTCTCTTCCACTTAAAAATCCAACAAGATATTGAAAAAGTGTAGAGTGCGAAAAAGGATGGGAAATCATAGAGGAAAACTGCAACAAAGAATCCCCCAATCAAGAGTGCACAGATTAGTAATTTGGTAATGTGACTGATAGTGTACAATACAGTCCACCATAAAAGGGCATTTGACTCTTTTAATTTTTCAGAAGAGCTCTGATATTTTTTGGAAAGGTTGGAAGATTGATCAAATCTCTCGGTAGTAACAAATATGCAGTCTTCTATTTCAAAATCTTTCTCTGGATGAGGAACTGACCTGGCTTTAATTGTTGACCTGCTCTCCTGATCCTTTGAATAGCTAAGGGATTGGGTTCTTTTATATGTCGGCTCTTCACTATGGGCTATTGGGGTCCGATATACAGTTGAATCCAAATCAGACTGTAATTCAGAAGGCCTGTTGATCTCCTCTGCCATGGAAAGGGGCTTAGTTATGTCGATGGAGGAGTTTTCATTGTCTTCGGTGAACAAAGTTGGCTCTAGGCCTGGGCATAGATTTGCAGATGAATCTACTGAAAATTCTGTCAAGAGAAACATACTTGAATCTAAAGGGTCGCTCAAGTTTTTCTCATCAACTGGACAGTGATCTTGAGTTGTCTCTGTCAGCCGGCCTTTTGTGTCACCAACAGTACTTGGATGCCAAGTAGTAGGTTTCAACTTCTGAGCAAAAACCTCTTCCAAGATGCTACAAACCAAATTTTCTCCAAATCTTTCTATGGACAATGGCTCCAATTCTGACTGTGTCACTTCAAGTGCAGGACTATTTTCTACTGTAATGGGATCTTTTGTTCCCTCTCTCAGTTTGTTATGTTCAACATGTGGGGGGCTTGTAACTTCTGCTGATGATTCTTGTCTTTTCCTCACAATCTTATTCTCCCCCCAAGGGCTCTCCGGATTACCCATCAACTCCCTCATTGCCTCTATTTTAAGCCTTTCACCACAGAGTTTCTCATCTTCCTTACTATGGTCTTGTTTTGCTCCTCTTGATGCTTCAGATCCATGTTCTGCTGAAGTGTCTTTCTTGGAATAATTCCTCTTTGCCATTAGTTCTTCTGGATTTAAGTCTCGACTTGAATTGGGTTTTTGACTCTGTAAATGTTTCTGGGGGTCTGTCAATCTTGGTTTGACCATCTCCAAGGGATCATATTGATCAGGATGACAAGGTATTTGTGTATTATCCTTATTTTGGCAAAATATTACTTCTGATGAATCAACAATGGGACTCAACTCTGCAAAAGGACCTGTTTCTTTTTTATCTATTTCTTTTCCATCATATCTAATCTCCTGTTGCTCCATGTTAAATTCCTGGTCATCACTTTGTTTTATCTGTATGAGAGGAAAGTCTTCCCTATTTTGAACAAGAAGCTCTTCATTCACTTTGACAGACACTGACTGTATATTATGTTCTTTCATAAGCAAGGAGGCTGACCTATCATCATGTTTACACTGTACGTCATCCAATATATTAGTTAGCTTACTTCCTTCATTAGTTACATCGTCTATTTCTTTGCTTTCTGTCATAGTAGCTCCTACCTCTGCTTTTATTACCCCTATGCTAAAGTTACTGGATGAACCATCTTTGTTTTTGTCCACTAAAATATTTATTTCTTTCTCTGTATTTTCCTCATCGATTTGCTGTAAGCCAAATCCATCTGCATGTCTTTTGGTTGTCTCTGTCTCATTCTCATTAATCTTCCCATTTGGGCTTTGCCTGAATTCCTCATGCTGGATTTTATCTGCATTCCTTAGGGGATTATTAAATTCTTTACATTCACCTGGCCTAAATATTTCCTTTTCTGTTTGCACTTCCTTTGCCGTATAGTTCATCATGATCTCCTCCTCCTCCTTTCCTTTCCTGGATGCAGCAAAGACATAGCTGTCCTTGTCCCTTGTCTCCTTGCTGATTGTCTCCCTAAATGCCACAATGTCATCTATCTCATTGTGTGCAGTGCCTGTAACCTCTCGCTCCCTGCTTGAAGAAACCCCCCCATCCTGTTTTGCATCTGGTGAGATTGTATCAACATGGCTGGCATTCGGATTCTCTGGCATTACTGTCATATCTGTTGTCTCTGACTCCCCTGAGCTTGTTACTGAGTCAGGTGTGTGCAATGCAAAGGGCTCCGCTTCTCCTCTTCCCACTGTTTCTATTATCGCTTTGCCTTCTTGCTCCCAGTCCTTACATTTGTGACACTCCGTTGGATTGTCAGCGTTGTCCATAGACAGAGCAGTTGCCCTCTTGAGGTTGAATTCCTTTGGAGTGTCTGTTACGGAGTTTGTCTCTGACCTTTGGGATGCATCTTGTGTCGCTTGGTTGTCATCCTCTGGCCTGCTGACACATGCCTGTTCCGCCTTATTATCTTTAGCCTTCGAGTCATTGGCATCCAACAATGTTTCGCAACTGTCTGACAGTAACTGACACGAAGCTAGGCTATGTAAGGTTTTGGGTGTACCTCTCACCTCCAGAAATGCTTGACTTTCTTCAGAATCTTGGATTAGCGACTTCGAACTATTTGAAGGGAGCACTGGTGCCGTTGTCTGGAGCCACTCTGACTCTGGCACATCAGAGTAATGTTTGCAGCTAGATCTATTTAGAAAAACCTGCCATACATCACTCACAGATGTTTCCTTAGTTTTACTATCATGTATAGTCTTGGAAAAGCTCTCCCACATATCATTAACAGTTGGTGTATTTTCTACTGACTCTTTTGACAAAGTAATTTTAGCTCTAGCAGCCAAGATGTGATCGACATCGGCAGTGCCCGGCTGTTCAGGTGTATGACTGTTCCAGTCCAAGGAGAGCAGGGGAATCTGATGGTAGGTAAGTACCCGTGGACTCTCACTTGATTGCACCTTTTGGGATTTATAGACATAGCTGGGGGAGTCACCCAGCACAGCTGACACATGCTGAGAAACCTTTTGGCCACAGGCTGAGTCATGTGGAAATGCCTTTGATTGCTGCTGCTCTTTCTGGCAAAGGTAATCTTGCACGCGTGCCAAACGGATTGCTCTGCGTCGGCTTTTCACGCTTTCCACCTGTCAAGAAAGCGAAAAGTCAAAAGTCAGCTTTGGTGTTCACTTAAACTAAAGCCCAGATACCACCTGGACTATTTGTCTTTAAAGGTCATCAACTTAATTGAATCCCAGCACTGGCATTCATAGAATACTTTTTGTAACATTAATGTGGTGATGCAACGCCATGTAACACTGCTGAAACTTCTTTGAATTACCTTGTGTTGGTTTACATCATCAGTTATCCAGCATATATACAAGCAGGGTGCTGTTATTATTAGTCATAGTTTCTAAAGTGTTAGGTTACCTGCGTTTCAAATGAGAATGTGGCTATGATCATATTCAGATACATTTCTCTGAAAATGTACTTTTACACTCATACAGGCTCAAATGTTTGAGTGTTTGAAATTTAATTCAGTTTTATGGAAAAACCTTGTTTTCTCTTAAAAATAAAGTGTTTAGATGGTGTTACATGCTTCTAATAAAGGCTGAATTCCTCTTTAAACCTCACCCATGGTTTTTGGTCCTTATGAGAAAGTGAAGTTCTCTCCCCACAAGTCTTTTGTACTTTATTGATCAATTCCAAATCTGCAAAAGAAATACAAAAGTGCCAAAAATGTCTCAAATACACCGTTACACACATATATTGTATACTGTATGTACATCTTTGTATAAATGAGAAGCTGCCTTGTACAAACCTGCAGCAGCCATACTGGTGTGTGCGCTCTCTCTGTTTTTCTCCTCAATTTCTTCGTTCCTGCTGGTCAAAGAAGTATATGCTTATTGACTCACAAATACTGTATGCATTCACTTCATCAAATCCATTCTGCTGCATGTTGCACTATATAAAGTTCCTCAAAAAACTGTTTATACTCCAAAATTTTTTCACAGTAAATCCAAAGCATTATAATATTATAGTCTTTTGTACAGCAGGGGATTATATGGTGAAATAAAAAATGTTTTTTTTTTATTCTTTTTTTGTGGAACATCCTATCAGTTTTAACTTCAATTTTTTTCTAGATCTGTCTGTATAAGCTTTGCCTGTTTGGGACCCTGAAATGATGCGTATATTCTTTGCAATCAGTTCAGTTCAGTTCTGTTAGGATTATCTGTTATCATTATGTTAGCATTTTTTATTCTGACCTTCTTCCATTTAACTTTTGCTAGCCTTAGTGTCCCTTCTGAAGATTTTTTTTTTTTCACCATTATATTGTAATAAGACTGAGTTTCGTGTTTCCTTTCTTCAATAAGGGCCAAATGTGAGAAGTGCAAAAGTAAGGTGTCTTGTCAATAGATCCCCAAGTGAGTTCTTGGCTATGGTTTTGCACAATACTGACATAGCCTGGTCTTTTAATTCAGATGGATGAACCATCATCTTGTGCGTTTGCTCTTCTGATGGACTGAACAGTGCTTCATGAGATGTTCAGAATAATATAACCTCAAGCTGTGTGAAACTTCAACACAATGCATAGGTAATTTGCTACCTACTTGGGTGACTCATTATTGCAACTCCTTTCATGTGACTCTTTTAAGTATGCTAAGTGCATATGCACTGCACATTCCCAAGGTTCTTTTGTTTTGTTTTTGTAAAATAAAACTTAAAAATCATGTATGATTACCTTCTATGACTTGTGTTCCTTTGCTGTTCAATCACATCAAATGTAAGTAAAATATCTTGCCTATTTTGGTAGTAATGCGACAAAATGTAAAGGAGAAAAAGAAATACTAGAGGAATATTAAAATAAGGGCTGTCATAGTTATGATTTGGAGAGTTAAACAAAAATGTTTGTGCATGTAGTGTCCAAAAGGAAAGGCTAGACTTGGACGTCATGGAAACCATGCACTGACATTTGACCATAAAAGGGAAAAATGTGTCATGTGGGCTACATACCTCTCACTCAGTACTTGCATAACAACTTAGTGTAAACAGACAATGGGCCCTTCACAGGCTTTTTTATTGTTTTAAGCTCCATTTATTAGAGGAGCAGCACAGAGTAGGTAGAAACCCCTCACTGTCTCAGATTACTGCCTTGGGCCTTCACTTGCCTCTGCCTGTGTTTTAGCAAACCCTCAGAAGGTTATAGACTTATCTCACCTGTTGGCCTTCAGGCAGCTTCTTTTGCTCTTGTAACTGCTGCTCTCCTCTTCTGTTGGAGTCACATGGTCCTTTATTGGTGTCTTTTGGTGGCAGAACATCACATAGTTCATCCCTTTGTTATTTGCCCAGAAAGTGCCCACTGGAGTTTCATATCGGAGGCAGAACTCCACTCTAGTTCCCTCTTTTTCAAATGGAGGAACCACAGTGTACCTGAATGTGAACCGGTCTGTTCTCCTATCGCTAGAGCCTGGTATATACTCTGCCAGCAGATCAAAGTAGCTGCTCCAGCGATCCAAAGTCACCCGAGCATAGACGCTCTTGTTGTAGCAGAGGTTGACCACACGGATGATGCCCCGGAGAGTTGTGGTTCCCGGGAGAAGCTCAATGCTTTCCAGCTCCACCATCTGCTCGCACAGCTTCTGATCCAACTCTTCTGTGGATGAGGGGACTGTAAACAAGCAAGACAAATAGATTTCCTCTGGTGATTGGACCACCTTCCTCCCATCAGACCAGCTAGCCTCGGATTCTGTCACCTCAGCGTTGTCAAACTCCTTAACCGAAACCAGGTCAAGGCCAAACGCATCTGCGAATGACACTTTCCTTCGAATAACAGGCGGTGGCTCAGGTTCTGAATCCTCATCAGTGTCGTCCTCTGATCTAGATGCCACAGGAGACGAGGGCTCAATTTCTCCCTCATCCAGTTCCCCATTTTTTTCATATTCCTCCTCTTCATGCATCCCTCTCTCACCTTCATGCGGTTGGACAATCAGAGCCTCCATCGTGTGAGGTGAGGTGAGGCAGCTGCTCAACTGTCCTGCTGTATGCCTGGATTGTGGGGTGCCACAGACCCGAATGTCCCCTAGCCTGGCTGCAGCAATGCTGAGTGGGGGAGAGCAGGAAGAGGACGTGACTTGACAGATGGAGTTCAGTTACAGCTGAGCGCTGAGAGACTGAGCCAGGCCTAATAATAGGACACAGCTAAACTGGGCTGAGCGTTTATCCTTTCAGTTATTCTCCACAAATATGCTTCCTTCGTATGGCGGAAAAGACAATAACAACCAATACCAGCTTTACTATGAATGTAGTTCCCTTTCTTTCTATTGGCTATATATTTTAAAAGACTTTCTCTATATGTTATGGAGATTTTAGACAGAGACCAAAAAAATGTCTTCAAAACCTCAAGTTGTGTACAATTGAGATGGCGCAGCTCCAGCAACTGGCTCTGCATGACTAAGGTGTCCACTTGCAGCAGAGTATCACTCTCCCCTCTGCTGGGGAGCTGACGCTGAACACTGACCCCAGAGGATTAATTTTCACCAATACAAGTTTTGTTACTCTGCTTTGGAAGTTTCATGTATTAGCAGGGCCCCTTGCAAAATAATTGACATATTACTAACCTAGGGCTGTGGGTGCTATATCGACATTTTACAGCCGGATGATATGGCTGTTGATCATTGTAATGTAACAAAAATGATTCCCAGATTTATTTTTGTTTGTAATTGGGGAAAAAAAGTTTAAAGCAGTGTCTCCTGCATTTGTTTACAGTCCCTTTTACTCTGATTCTCCTGCTTTGATGCAGTAAAACCGATTCACTATTATTTTTTAAGGCATTGTGAAAAAATTATGTGAGAAGTAAAATTCAATTTTAATTTTTTACTGTAGACGATAAGGGACAAAGCAAATGCACATATTATGGTGCTCTGCTCAGTTCAGTCTAAAACATGGTTTTCTGGCCTCTAGTCAAAATGTATTTGTTGCAAAAACAAACTATGTACATACCACTAAACTTGTGAAACCTTGTGGTGGCTGCATCATGCTGTAGTAATGGTCATCAGTGTTGATAGGGGAATGAATGTAGCTATATTGAGGACAATTCTGCGGGAACAGCTGCTGGAGAGAGCAGAAAAACCTGAGGATCCAGCAGAGGTTAACTGTCATTGCAGCTTGGACTACAGGGAAACAGCTTGGATCAAAGTATTAAAGCTACATATGTTAGAGCAGGCAATTTAGAATAGACACAGAAGTCCAATGGAGTGTGTTACAGAAACAAAAATGCTGTTCAGATGTTTTTTTTTATGTAATGTTAGTAAGTTGGAACTTTTTTTTTTCAAGAAAAAGCTATATATGAAATGATTCTTTATTAGCAATCCTGGTAGAGACACTGAAATCTTGCACCTGCTACTTAAGTAGTGGATTAAAATAGAATTACATCACAGCTTTTAAGAGTTTTTGTTTGTTTGTTTTTTTACTTTTACTACATGATTGTGCAATACTTCACATAGCATTCTAATGAAATAAATGTAAGTTTGTGGTTATGAAGTTTTAAAAATATGAAAGTTTTCAAACGATATATTGGACTGTAGCTTTCTACAAATATGCAAAATATGCACCTGAGAAGGTGACCTAGATGTATTTCATCATAAACAGAAAAACTTAAAACTGTTGTTCTGTGCTGGACTCTGTTTTCCAAGATTTGATGCTTAAAGATTTAAAGATCTAAACTAAGATATGAAACTATATCCCTGTTGTGTGAAAAAAGTTTTCAACTATTCAATCCAGTTAAATAAAGGAGATTGATGGATTTTACTCAGTTGGCACTTTATTTACTTTGCAAAGTAAAGGAGAAAAAGACACTCACATTCACAGCATGATGGTCTGCCCAGTTCTAACTTAGACAAAGTTGTCCCCTTGCTCTTAACGCATATCAAAACAATCACAGACACTTTGGTTAAACAGTTACCTTGAGAAAGTATGTAGTTTTGTTATTGAAAAAGGTATGGCTTGTCTATTACCACCTCCGACTCAGACATTTGGTGGCCTTGCAGGTGAAACAAATTGAGTTAAAAAAAAAAAATTTCTAGAGAGTAAATAGCATACATCAATATACTGACAAGGAAAGAACAGAAATTAAATTTTCCGACAACAATCCCATAAGAAGCAATTGTTGTCAATAGACTTTAGAGCTTGCATTATTACCTCTGAGAGGTAAGTGAGTGGAAATTTGTACTTAAAGCACTCATTATTACAAGATTCTGAAACCAAAGATCTCTTCTTTTAATTGCATTTTTGTCGTCTCATACAAATGCAGTGTTGCAAACCCACATTTTTTTCACAATAAAATGTGATTTTTGTACAAATAGAATAAACACCAGAACGATCTGTTCGTATATTGTGGACAGCAAATACTTGTATGTTCAGCACATAAGTAGATGGCACTATTTGATCAAAAATAGTTAATACATTAGGCCAGAATATCTAAATTTGTTTAATTTTAATTGCCTAGCCAGAATAAGTTTCAAGAGTATAGTTAATGTCACATTTTTATGTATTATTATTTTTTTAACAGGTAAGATATATATATATTTATATAAAAGTTCACTGAAGTTCATTGTCCATGTTAGTGTAGGTACAATATTGAGAAATAACCGCTAGGTGGCAGCATGCTACCACCACAACCCCTACGCGCATTTCTCTCTCATTGGATGCAAAACTTATTTTTTTGAGCGGAAAGGTTTGGTGAAATAAAAAAAAAAAAATCAAAAGATGAAGGTAGAAGTATATATCTATGAAATAAATAAAAAATGTATAATGTGCATAAAAAAAAATAAAAGAATGCACGACGTTTAATCGAACACAATGATTCGAAAATTGTTGTTTACAAGACAAAAAAGATGACATTTAAATATGCTGCAAGACTGATGATAAATACATGAAGATCAGCTAAATTATTTTAATAGTAAAAGAAAATATATATGGTTTGTTAAATTTAATATAAACATATTTATTAGACTGTAAATCACATGTCAACGATTCGTAAATCACTTTAAAAAATGAAATGTAACATTTTCAAAATGTGGATAAGACCAAATGTGACACACTATATCCTTTTATTTATTTATTATTTTCACATAAAAGAAACTCATCCCCAAATTGCTTAATCTGATAGCCTAGGTATTCCCCATAAACGTATTCGTGGTGAAGAATTGAGCATCAGGTGGGAAAAAAAATAAAAATAAAATAATAAATAAAAAATTAATATTAGACTATGTTGATCCGGTCAAAGATTAACAGGAAAAAATACGCAATAAATCGATTTACGTATCAAAAGAAACATCTTGAACTGCTTACATCCTTTGATATATTTTGATTAAAAATAAGCTACGTAATTTTTTTTGTACCTGTATATTAGTTAGTAAAACAGTGTTGCTGTCTTTTATTAATGATATCGTCCTTTATATTATATATATATAAGCCTATAAATAATCTTTTGCTACTAAATGCAATGTGCAGAAAAAAACAGTTTTTCCTCTTGTTAGAAATTTTCTAATATATATCAACAAAAAAAGTACATATCTGGAATTCCGTAATTCCTTTAATACATTCATATTTACCTAATTGATTCAGATTGATATATAAAAAAAAAAATTAAAAAATTAAATATGCATCGCGCTGAGAGCTTCTAAAGTTAAAATATTTCAATATTTCTTAAATACATATTGATTTATTTTTATTTATTTTTTTCCAGATTTCCTAATAACGTCAAATTTCAGCACGTGGAGAGTGTTTGTTCTGCCTGTTTGAAGTTTACCGACTCGGTCGCGTGCGGATAGTTGCACAGGAAGTGTTACACGTCACGCGCTCGTCGATAAAGCGACCAAAAAAAAAAAAAGTTTATAATAATTAGTTTTATTTACACGGTAGGTATCCTGACGTCACAAGGGGGGGGGGGAAGCAGAAGCTTACCCCCCCAAATAATAACACACTCCTCTGTGGTACAAGCAAGTGCCTTCCTTCCCCCACGGGGGGGTTTCTAGTCCCAAATATACGCGCGTGCTTTCTTGGGATACAGCTTGTGTGTTTGAATCGTAACGAGGGGGGTTTAAAAAAGAAAAAAAAAGAAAACAAGGCGCTTCTTTCTCGCATTGCGCGTCATTCAAACAGGACTCAGTGTACTGCTTTTTCCCTCTCTGTTGCATTAGTAATAACAGCAGCGTTGACGAGAGACAGCAGGAGGAGAGGAGGGTGTGTGTCTCCCGACAGCATTGCCCAGCAGAGGAATACTGAGCTTTTTTTTTTTGCTTTTTTTTAAGGCTTAGTTATTTACACCAGCGCTTCTTGTCTTGTTGTTTGCTTTCTACCCTCTCGGACGATCACGTGCGAACATCGCCGCGAGTCTAGAAAAGGAGGAAGACGACTTCTCACCTGGTGCGTCTCTTTTGACTTTTAACGACAGGGAAATAATCCTGCCTTATTTTTGATTGAGTGTGGTAAGTTTGGTTTGTTTGTTTGTTTGTTTTTTCCCCAAACAAATCTTATTCTTTGAACTTTTATTGTCAGAAAAGGTGGATCGTGGTATTAAAAGTTTGCCCGGTGTTTTTAAATACCCAACTAAAGACAGCGCGTTTGTTTACAAGTTGCGCGTTCTTTTCAGATAAGCGCTTTAAACTTTACTATGGTTATTAGCGCTCAAACTTTGGAAAAAACGTGCATTTTAATACCTGCAAATTATTTAATTATAGGTATCATACTCTAAATTGCAATAACCAGAATGTATTTAATGCAGAAGTTTATTATCTTACTACTTTTTTTTAAAGATTTATTTAGTTATTTTCTGTTTATTTCAATTAAATTTTCGTGTTTAATGTTTACTTAGGCCTATTATTAAAAAAAAAATAATTTATATATATATATATATATATATATATATATATATATAAAGTCTGAGGACATTTATGGAATCAGCCCTTTTTAGCAATACTGCTTGTTTAAACCCATTTTTGGTCTTTATTACCAACACAATTGTATTTTTTATTTTTCTTCTGATGTCTGTTAAATTGCAGCAAAAAACAAACCCTTTAATTAGGCTCTAATTTGTTGTGATTTAGAATTAATCTACATAGATGTCTCTAACCTCTAAGCGATAATATTACTATCAGGTTGAAAAATGCATATTGACTTAAGCTCTAAAAAAAAAGCATTTTTTGTTTTTTCTTTTGACCGTTTTCTCATTTTGGACAAATGACTGGCATTTGCTTTGTTTTGATTATGACAGAAATATTAAGCATGAGCATGTTAAGAAGTTTATTTTACTTAACTACCTCTTTCTAGCACAACTGATCGTTGATGCATCGATGTTCAGAGCTGTACATGCCTTCCTCCATTTAATAGCCATCATCATTGCTTTAAAAGCGCACACATGCACAAAGATTTTCTAAGATTTATATTTTAGATAGGTCCGGCGAATACCTTATCAACAGATATTATCAGCAGTGTGATCACCTTACCGTTGTTGCATGCTCCATTTTTCTATATTCCACTCCAAGTCAGAAAGAGATAGATAATTAAGTCTTATCATAAAGATCCTACAATTACAGCTTAATTCTACATTCCTTCTCACACTCTAAGGGTCTTGCCATCTCTCATTTAAATACAGGGAGAATTCTACATAGTAAAAAGAACTCTTTAGGCCTGTCCTCTTATCCACTTTCACCCCTTGGATTTAGCTGCAGCCAGCCTCCTTGATCAGGCTGCAGGGTGCACAGGTGTTCCCCTTCCCCAGTTATGCAGGTGTGGGCCAAGTCCCCCCCCCCCATTCACTCAGCAGCTCCCACTCTTCAAAGGCTAAGGCGGCAGTAAATGCCCCTCATGAAATATGCCTGCGACAGTGCACAATCGCCCCTTTATTCAAACGCTCCCTTTTATGAATTCTTAAGACATAATTAGAGCTGTTCCTGCTCTCCTGTTTACTTGTTGTTGGGGTTGATGTCTGCGGCAGTAAGTGAGGTCACTGAAAAGCATTATCCCCCCCTTCCCAGGCAATAGGAGAAATGAAGAGTGACCAATGTTGGGAGCCAGCACACTTATTACCCTGGCTCTCCCCTCTCTCTTGCCGCGTCCCATTTTTTGATTGCTGCATTCATCATCGGGTGGTCGTGCTCTACATTATGGTAATAGGAAAATGAATGTCCTCCGCAGGATTAATGTGTATACCCTGTCATATGTTTCAATCATTTATCAAAATTAAGATTCGGCTGCTTTCAGCTCGATGAACGCTGGCTGTTTGTGGGATTGCGTCTTAAATATGGAAATGATTGCTTCTAGCTGCGGCGAAGCAGAGGGAGCTTTTTATTTGTCCCTCAATTAAAAACTTTGCATGCCGTTTCTGGTGAATGCAGGAAACCTTTTAAGTTGACACTGGCTAAATTTGTGTATAAGTTTAGATCAACGCTGGAAAGTATATCACAAACTATTTTTTGGAGTATTTCTTTGTTTTTCTGAATTGCCCCATCTCCCACCCCTTCCAACCCCTTCTGTAATTACACAGCTTGCTCGCTAAACCCCTTGAGGTGTTGTTACATTTCAGGGGAAGTGGTTAATACTATTAAGAGAGTGGTACACCAGCATCACTTTCACTAAACACATCCCAGAGCCTAAATCTACTAAAACCACTCATGGATGGCTAACTTTGCTCTGTTACAGAACTCGAAGGCTTTTAAATAGCACCTGTTCAGGTTTTTTTTATATCTATTAACCTCATAAAAATGTTACCATGACAACCTCTATGCAAGTTAAAGCAACCTGAAGTGATCAAACCCTTTTTTTTTCTTTTCCTCCCTTGCACTTTGATTCCCTCCGCTCTGTAAAAAGACAAAAATAAACAAATAAAAAAAAACCCAAAGAGATGGAATCTGTTTTGACATTTTTGGCCTTTAATGGGACTTTTGTGCCGCACAAAAACATTTGTTTACTGGGATCATACACTGCAAACAGCCTCAGAAAGATTGACTTCTCAAGATAAAAGGGTGCATTACACGCTTAACAGGTCACCCCCTTTTTGCACTGTAATTATCCACATCACGGTAATGATGTTTTGTGTGCCCCAGTTACTAAAAGTCTGGAGAGAGCTCAGACTTTTTTAGTTACGCTCTGGGTCACTTCTTAAAGCCCGACTAGACTGACTCTGAGCCGACGAGAACCAATGTGACTCCTTGGCTGGAGAAAGCTGTACAGGGTGGGGTCAAGACATGTGGATTATAGGGGAGATTGCTAGGAACTTACTTGCAGTAATCTAGTGTAGAATTTCCTTTGTTTTCATTTGTGTCAGATGTCATGTTTGGTTTGTCAGTTTTGGGGGTTTTAGAGCCAGAAACAAATGGACAACATGAAAAGGAAGAGGGAAAGTTGAAAGAAAACAGATTTTAAGATTGTGTTAACAGTGTTTTTTCATATATATATATATATATATATATATATATATATATATATATATATATATATATATATATATATATATATATATGGAGAAAACAAATATTAAAGGCATAGTGGAGGATTTTTTTTTCTGGGTGGATCATGAAAATAAGTGGTCCTTCAAATTGTCAATCATTCTAGTGATATGTTTACGTAAGGCCGTCCTACGTGCTCGTCCCTATTTTCACTTAGCGGTGGTGAGTCTGATATAGTGGAAAAATTGCATATCTTCTTCTTCTCATACAAGTAAGCTTGTATGAGCGATTCAAACAGCAACTTTTAAGTATGCACTTGCACTCGCTCGTGCATGCACATGCACGTTTTCAATAGGCGTTCCCTCTCTGGAGCGATTACAGGGTTGTGCATGTGCATTTTTTTGTGGAGAGTTCTTTCCAAAAATTTGTAAATGGTATATAAAAAAAATAGATAGATAGATAGATAGATAGATAGATAGATAGATAGATAGATAGATAGATAGATAGATAGATAGATAGATAGATAGATATACACAAATTTTCCCACTTCCATCATAAAAAAAAAATTTGAAAAGCATACTCTAAACACACCTGCTGAAAATCAAAGGAACGTCCAGCCTGTTTTTTTTAGACTGCTTCATCACAAGCTGCACTTTATGCAGAAACCTCATGCCTCATTCCCTGTACATGACTTATTGTTTTTACATTTTGAAACTCCTTATCTTTTTTGGTCATGTTCCAAAGATTCTGATGCTCCTCCATATTTAAACAAACTCCACTGTCTCCACTCAAATAATGTATTTTGCTTGTTCTTTCTAAACTTGCATGCTTGCAGGTCAAAACTGCATTTGGGGCATTAAAGCTTGTAAAAAACATACACGGGCACACACACAAAAAATAACAAAAAAACACACACAAAACAACTTGTTTTGGGGGTCTGCCCCTGAATAAAAGGGACAGAGGGTCACTTGTGGTAAGAGGCAAGGTCGCTGTTGCTCAGACCATTCAGCCATCAACCTTGTCACTTGTAAACAGTCACACATCATGTGAGGCATCGCTGGGGCCAAGAGCATTAGCTGTACCTCAGCTCTTGTTTGAATGCATCAACTGTTGTCAAGACATCTTCAAAATATCTTACAGTAAGTAAAAGAAGAGTAAAAGATTAAATTTACCTTGACCAAAATGAAAAATAGAGCTAGAAAAAAAAATTAACTACTTAGATTTTTTTTTTTAGAATGGCGCTAGCTTGTTTAATAATGCATGAAAATCATAAAATTTTTCACTAATGCACTGTTAAGATAAAAAAAAAAGTTATACAGTAAAGATAGATGAAAATAAGATGTTTATTTTGAACGTGTTGTGGGTAGAAAGAAAAACATTGGGGGTGGGTAATGACAATAACTGTTTTTGACAGGCACATTAGGCTGCAGAAAGAGCATCCAGCTCCAGGCTGGGGGCATATGGTGCTGCCTTCTGCTGGCATAGCTCTAGACCAAGTTACAACACTCGCACAGGGTCACGACTGTCTCGGGTTTGGTCCTTCTGTTTCACCCATCTAAACAAAAACAGGAGGCACAATGAAAAAGAGGGAGTTTGCTTGTGGGGGCAGTTGTGTAGAGGACCATGGTCAGGCAAAGGTTGTTGTACACTAGATTCATGAAGGCTCCAAGTCATGCCCCATTTGTGTCAGGACTTAATGTGGTCAAAATGTAGAGGAGAGACATTTGACATTTGTACAAATGCATCTTTTCAACTCTGGACTTATCGCTGCCGCACTCGCATGTATCGTCTCTCATCATCTGAACGCCGCACATCTTGCAGCCCTTAATCTTATTCTAAACAATGGCTGTAGTTTCCACCACTTTGGTTTCTTCCTTGTAATGTGGGTCGGATAGACTTGGATAATGTGTAGAATGACGCAGGGCTTTGGTCTGAAGGCAGCAGATCGGTGGGTGGGTAATTACAGCCTTCTGTGCGTCTTCCTGGGTTTTCCTTGAATCACAATCATAGGCCGTGAAGTTCAGCTTCCAGTGCAACTCTGAGGATGAAATGAAGTAGTCAAAACATATGGAGCAAGCAAAACAATGGTTTATTTTTATGATATTTGATGAGTGGGTTTTAATTTAGATTGTCACTTCTGGGAAACAGGAGGCCAGATGGTGCAGACTTGAGTGCCCATCAGAGCCTAAATACCTCTAGGCAGCTGTTGGTCATAAAGTTTTTTTTTTCTAATATTTTTTTTTTATGTTCTTGCTGTCTTTAACACAACTTGGGTCAAGAGGAATCAAACCTGTTACAACACCTGTTTCTGCATATGCAAATCTGTTGTTTTGTCATTTCATTAGGCAAGGCTAAAAGACAAGGGTCCCTTGTGGTTGCAAATGCGACTGGCACTGAGCCCAGCTGGCATGCCACACAGCAGCAAAGATGCTTGAGGCAGGGTTAGGGGAGCAGGGAGTAGTTGGATCTCAGCCACCAGGTACCTTCACATCGCCAGTTCAATTCGGATTGGTTTTAAAAAAAGGAGCAAAACATGCTTAGCAGCAGAGCTGAAACGTTAATCCTTCTAAGAATGTGTCTTTATCTGCTCTAAAACTAGAGGATATACATCATCACTGTGCCTTTCATGTTCTATACTGAAACTAGAATTTCATGGGAGAGCTACAAAGTAGCATGTGACTGTGAAGTTGAAGAAAAGTGAAGCAATGATATAAACGTCACAATAAAATTGCCTTCGTCCTTTGCTATGTAGGAAAAGTCACCCTGCAAGCTAACCTTAACCCTATAATGCCAAATGTATCATATTTGATAC